ATTTTGGTCAATGACATGAGACAAAGTATATGTGAACTGCTGTATGAAAAGTGAATTTACTCTGTAAATCTTCACCCAAATCCTAAAAAAAAAAGAATCAGACAATTAATTGCTTAGCTACTAGGAAGCTGCCTGGAACAGGTCATGGCTGGCCAGTGAAGTGATTTGGTTGATAATTGAAAGATCAGCTATCCACCCGCCTTCACCCATCATCCTATCCTTCTAAGTTCATTCTTGTAGGACTACTACTGTTGGAAACCATATTTTAATGAATTCCCTTGGAGTTTGAAAATGTAATTCCCTTACCTTGTTTCAACTTGGCCACAGCACCTGTAGGGACAGATGAGAGATAGAGGATCAGCTGGCATAGAATCGTTCAGATGCCCTGAGATACCGTTTCCATCAGTTGAGGCCAAGACCAGAAATGACAGTATCTGTATCTACTTCCCAGGATCACAGCCTAAATCACCAAATTGATTCAGAATACTATCTGTATAAACAGATATCTTAAAACAGAGTTGCCCCAAAGCAAAGAGCAGTCACTGAACCCCGTGCCCACCTACCTCTGGCCTCGGGCTTAAAATAGAACTGCCCCCAAGCAAAAAAATAAGTTTATATATGATTAATGCAATAGAACTTGTAAGTGCTCTTTTAGTATATATATGAATGTTTTGAATGTGGGAAGAACCTATTGATTTTTTGCCCAAAGGTGGAGGATCAAGAAAGGCTTAAATAGAGGTGGTAGCTTGCCTTGAAGAATGAGTAGAAGAAACTCACCAGACAGAGAAAGGCATTCTGGATAGAAGCAATAACTGAGCAAGGATACATATTTGGAAAACTACATGTTAGAGGTAGAGCTTGTGATTAGAAGAGGTGGGACAGAGCATAATGGAAATAGCTGGAATCAGTATTTTCCTCCTCTAACAACTAGTCACCTGTCATGGAACTTCACACAGTGTAGGACTGTCCACATGTCAGCACATTGTCTGAACCATGATATGAGTTTAATAACTATTTCTGAATGAATGCATGAATGAACAAATCATTGAATAATAATAATAATAATAAATGACACAGTTAAGCAGATTTCTTTATTATTGTTGTTTGTTTATTTTCTCTGGTCTCCCATGGTTGATTAAGCAGATTTCTTACTACTTTCTCCCTGAGCACCTGATCACCATGGGGATAGACAGGGCCCTCATTCTAAGTCACATTCCATCAGAAAGTGGATCAAATGGACTTTTGACATATTTTGATTTTGCCTGTTTTTTTTTTTTTTTTTTTTTTAAATTGTTGTTAGGTGCTGTTGAAACAGTTCGGACTCATAGCCACCCTATGTACAACAGAAGCACTGCTGGGTCCTAGACCACCCTCACAATCATTGCCCTGCTTGAACCCATTGTTGCAGCCACTGTGTCAGTCCATCTCATTGAGGGTTTTCCTCTTCTTTGCTGATCCTCTACTTTAGAAAACATAATATTCTTCTCTAGGGAGTAGTTCTTACTGATAACATGACCAAAGTACAAGAGACAAAGTCTCGTCATCCTTGTTTCTAAGGAGCATTCTGGCTGTACTTCTTCCAAGACAGATTTGTTTGTTCTTCTGGCAAACCATGGTGTATTGAACATTCTTTGCCAACGCTGTAAGTCAGATGCATCGATTCTTTGGTCCTCCTTATTCTTTGTCCAGGTTTCATGTGTATATGAGGTAATTGAGAATAATTGAGGCTTGGGTCATGTGTACCTTAGTCTTCAAAGTGACGTCTTTGCTCTTTAACACTTTAAAGAAGCTTTTTTTTTTTTTTAAAATAAGCAATGTAGTTTATGCAAAGCACCAGATAAATGGTATGTATTAATGGCTTGCCACATCAGAATCACTCCAGGGCCTTTAAAAGAGGTCTTTTGCAGCAAATTTCCCTGTTGCACTATGTCATTTCATTTCTTGGTTGCTGCTTCCATAGGTGTTGGTTATGGGTCCAAGTAAAATGAAATGCTTGACAACTTCAATCTTTTCTCCTTTAATCATGATGTTGCTTATTGGTCTAGATGTGAGGATTTTTGTTTTGTTTGTGTGGAGTTGTAATCCACACTGAAGGCTGTAGTCTTTGATATTCATCAGTAAGTGCTTCAAGTCCTCTTCATTTCAGTAAGCAGTTATGTTACCTGCATGTCTCAGGTGGTTAATGAGTCTTCTTCCAATCTTGATACCATGTTCTTCTTCATATAGTCCAGCTTCTTGGATTATCTGCTCAGCATACAGATTGAATGAGTATGGTGAAAGGATACAATCCTGACACACACCCTTCCTGATTTTAAACCATGCAGTATCCTCTTATTCTGTTTGAACAACAGCTTCTTCGTTGATGTACAGATTCCTCATGAGAACAATTAAGTGTTCTGGAATTCCCATTCTTTGCCATATTACCTATAATCTATTATGATCCACACAGTCAAATAGTCTTTTCATAGTCAATAAAACATATGTTAACATCTTTCTGGTATTCTCTGCTTTCAGCCAAGATCCATTTGACATCAGCAATGATATTCCTCAAACCATGTCCTCTTCTGAATCTAGCTTGAGTTTCTGGCACTTCCCTGTCTCTGTACTGCTGCAGCCATTTAAAAATAATTTACAGCAAAATTGTGCTTGCATGTGATGTTGATGATTCCACATTCTGTTGGATGGGCACAGATATGGATCTCTTCCAGTTGGTTGGCCAGGTAGCTGTCTTCCAAACTTCTTGCTATAGAGCTATAGACAAGCGAGTGCTTCCAGTGTTGTATCTATTTGTTGAAACATTGATTCCATTAATTCCTGGACCCTTGTTTTTCTCCAATGCCTAATCTTGCCTATCAAGTTCTATTTTGTCCTAGGACTCAAAAGATCATGTAGGCAAATTTTCTGGAGTGACTGGTGAGTGAACTCCAGTTTACACAGGCCAGTGATGGCTGAATGGGACAAGGACTCAGGTTTTCTGTTGCTCAGCCCAGTGCTTTTTCCACTATACCTAGCTGCATCACACAGGCTTTCAGCATTGCCCCTCAACCTGGGTTGTCTTTATCTGGATCTTCCTCCTATACCCTCAGAAATGATTCTAAACTCTCACTGTCCTCAAGACCTCCCCCTGACCCTCATCCAGCTCATTTTCAGCCAGCAGCATTGCTTCCCACTTAGTTTGTTGAGAACACAGATGACTTTATGACCCTTCCTCCTTTGCTTCCTTTCCACTCACAAGCCTATCTATGTCCACAGCCATCTATACTTCCTCTCTCCTAGTCTCGAAGGGTTAGATTGTCTTCCCATCTGTGCCCTTGATCCCTCTCTTCCAGCATCAATTCCAGGACATTACTCTGTTCATTGTCTTATCTTTTAGCCTAGAAATATCCTCAAGTTTCTCTCACCCTCAAAAAATTTTCTTCCTTGACTCCACTTCTCCTTCTGTCTAACATTTAGTCTCTCCTTCCTTCTCATCCAAGCTTCATTAAAGAGTAGTCTATACTTGTTGCTCTCTATCACTTACTCCTCACCTTCTACTCATTTCCACTTAGATTTCACTTACACTATTCCACTGAAATGAAGTCATCCATGACATTTTTCTTGCCAAATCCCACAGGCTTACATTTTAAAATATACTATTATATTAATGGACCCCTCTGTAATGTTTTATACTCTTGGTACTCTCTTTCATATTCTTCATGATATCTCTCTCTGGAAGCTCTCTACTCCTCTGGTTCACACTTATTGCACTTGTTTGTACTCACCTCATTCTTCCAGCTCCTTGATCATTGGTTTGCCTCTTTTCCCGAAATCTCCCCCACCACACACACACCTAATTGCCCCTTAAAAGTTGGTGTCCTCAGCTCCCTTTTCCTCACATATCATACATATCAGTGCTTGTGTGATTTTAACAACTTTTATGATTTTGGGTACTCCTAATATGTGAAGGGGAGCTCTGGTAGCATAGTGGCTAAGACACTTGCCTGCTAACCAGACGGCTGGCGGTTCAAACCCACCAGCCACTCCTCGGAAGGAAGGTTGGGCAATCCTACTTCCGTAGTGATACTGCCTCGGAAACCCAAGGAGGGGTTGCTATGAGTCGAGTTTGACTCGACAGCACATAACAACAACAACAACAACAATGTGTGAAGAACAATTTCTAGTTCAGAATGCAGGCTTCAGCCCAGTTCATCCATTTCCTGTTGGATATCCAACTGAATATACTTACAGGCACCTCATACATAGTCTGGTAACATTGAACTTATCTCTTCCATTAGACTATGAGCTTCTTGGGGTAGAAATGTTTTATTTATCTTTATATCATCTTCTCTATCACATAATAGAATGTCAGCCATATTTGTTGACCAGATGACCAACTGAATGAATGAATGCTTCCAAGATTTCCTCCTAACCCTGGCTCCGAGCTAGGGAACACATATCTTTACCCTTCAGGTTCCTGGCCTATGCCCTTTTGGGTTACATGCAAGCCTAAGATGGCGGCCGCAGAGTCCTCTAGCCAGTTAAGGTTTCTGTTTTGATGTCTCAGAGACAAGGACCCCAATTCTCCCATGAGCACTGCTTCTTTCTAGCAGAGAATAGTAGGCGATTTCATTTTTGCCCTTGCTCTTTGAGCTTTAGGGTGACAGCTGCGGTAAGCTTGAGCTTAACAGTCTCAATATTCTTGCTCCTCCCATGAACTCTTCCCTTGAGCCCTTCCTTAGGCTTCCAGAATGCCCCTGGGAGCCCTTACCTTGAAGAAGAAGGGTAGCCAGCATGAGGCTGGCCAGACCTTTCCCCTGCTCCATGTCAGTCTTGTTCTTCCTGCAAAAGCACTGAGCAGCCCTGGCCTGCGTAGCATCTAGACCGACTCCGCCCAACACTCTTCAGGTTGGGGCCCCTGCTAGAGGAGGCAAGAAACCAGAACCTCCTTCCTCTGCTTCAAGTGTGGGAGGCAGGGCTTGAGCAGGGCTGCAGGTGCAGATGTGCCTTGATTTTCCGTTAAGGCTGCTCTGTGTATGGATGTAGTGGAGGGTGGGAGGTGGTGGGAGGGGTAGGGAGAAAGTGCTGCCATCTCAGAGATTCTGCACAAAGTCACCTTGGATGCTGGGTAGGAGATGATCCTGAGCCACTTTCTTCATTGGGAGATAAATTTCCTTGCCACCAGTTATTGTTAGAACTACTGAATTTAGACAGGGCCTTCCAGTGCTTGGGGTTGGAGCTCTGAATGGAAAGCCACCTCAGCCCAGGTCTTCATTGAGAGATTCTGCACTATTCTTTTGTGATGAGACCATCAAAGTGGTGTCTGCCTGGAAGAGCATAGATGGAACAATTTCCACAAGACAGCCTAGCACATTCCCAGGGAGGGGTCGGGGACCAGAGTGACGTTCTTTTCACTTCCTAGAAACCACGCAACCTTTTCCATATTCTCTGTTCTCCCTTCCACCCCACCCCCAAGCTCTCTGCTCAGAGAAAGAGCAATTTACACCTGCTTCCTTTCTACTCCACCCCCAGCCTCTACCCTACCCATCACCAACTGCGGAAGGCAGAGAAGTATTTGTCTTCTGGTTCCTCCCTGACTCTTTACTTTTTCCGGGTACCCATGAGTCAGTGGGGAGGGTCACTCTCACCCTGGCTGATAGCTCTGTGATCTGAGTCTACCGGATGAATTTGGCTGAAAGATGGAGCACAGCGGGTTTCTGGTTGGCCTGATCCTGGCTGCCTTTCTTTTCCAAAGTAAGGCTTCTTCAGGCGGGAGGGCATCTTGAAGAAGGTAGTTGAGAGGGACTTTGCACTGAGAGCATTTCCGGTGAGGTCCACCTGAAAATCTTCTTAATGCTAGCTAGCATTCATCAGTCACCCCAAGGTGAAAAGGAGGGCAGGGTTGGGATGTAGCACAGCATTTAGGAAACAGGCCCTTGATTTCTGACTGATCCCAGGTGGGGGTGCCTCTTGGCCTTGAATGGCTCTCTGGAGGCCTTAGGCCAAGAGATCTGTCAGAAACGGTGCAGTATGTGTGTGCCTGAGCCTAAGGCAGGTAATGAGAACAGAGCAACATGCATTTCACATTCTAGGGCATATAGTCTGTGGGTTTGGTACTCCATCGTTATATTACCACCTGGACCTGGCACTCAGGGGAATGGCTTAAGAGAAAAGTTGACTTTCAGTTGAAGAGGAGGGAGGGCAGATTTGGGAGGTAATTGCATAGTCAGTAGGATGAGCAACTCACCCCAGTTTGCCTGGGACTGTCTTGATTTTAAGGAGCTATGGGGTGCAGTGGTTAAAGCACCTGGCTGCGAACTGAAAGGTCAGTGTTTTGAACCCACCAGCTGCCTTGTGGGAGAAAGATGAGAGAGATGAGGCAAATCTGCTTCCATAAAGATTTACAGCCTTGGAGACCTTATGGGGCAGTTTTACCCTGTCCTATTCCACTCCTCGGAAGGAAGGTTGGGCAATCCTACTTCCGTAGTGATACTGCCTTGGAAACCCAAGGAGGGGTCACTATGAGTCAGGTATGACTCAACGGCACATAACAACATAACATAGGGTTGCTATATCAAAAGACGGGAAGACCCTCAATGGGATGGATGGACACAGTGGCTGCAACAATGGGCTCAGGTATAGCAAGTATTGTGAGGCTGGTGCAGGATTGGACAGTGTTTCATTCTGTAGTGCATAGGGTTGCTATGAGTTGAAGCTGACTTGACGGCACCTAACAACAACAACAACAACATAGGGTTGCTATGAATTGGAATTGACTCAATGGCAGTGGGTGGTCTTGCTTTTAAACCTAAACATCCTGCCTGTGTGCCATGATCTCTATTATCCTAGGCACACTGGAACTATGGTCACCCATAATCAGATGCACTAGGACAGTGGGATTTCCACTGGAAACAAGTCCTCAAGGAACACGTGCCTGTAGGATAAGAAGCATGTGATATATACATGTCTCCCTGCTTTAGAGGCATGAGAAGCTGCTGTATGGGAGTTCTCTAGAGGATATTCTAGTATCCAAGTCGGTAACAGAAGATGAAGCTCAGGGAGGACGTAGATTCCACTTTTCCTTGGAGTTGAAAGTGATTTCAGTGGGCTGTGAAGATGGTCTCAGGCTGTCTGAGCAAGTCAGTGGATCTGCAAAGGTGCTGTGCTCACCTCCATTCCTTTCACTCTACTGGGGCCCCAAGAATGGATTAGATACAAACTTCCCCAATCCCCACCCAGCAAGAGTAGAACAGCTGAAAATATTTACATGGGATTTGCTGGGCTCCCACTGGGCTACTCAGCTCCTAATTTATGCCAAATTCTCCCCTACCTCCAACCATCACTGGCCTTGGCAAAGGCTTTAGTAGAGACAGTCTCTTGCCTTTGGTAATTGTTCCTTGGGATAGGGCAATGGGCAAAAAAGATGATGAGAAATTGAAATGGAAGTGTTGCAGGTAGCTGGGAAGAGGGATCAGAAGTTTTCTTGGAGAAAAAATCAGGACATTGTCAACTCAGGCTGCCTTTCCATATTTCTTGGGAGCTTAGGTCATCTGTGCTTCCCTCCTTCTAATCAGTGGTCTGAAGTCATTTATAGGAGGATTCTCAGATTAACCCATCTCGATGGATTCCTTTTTTGCTCTGTTCCCCTCAGGACCTATTCTTTGCATGGATGACACAATCCTTGTGTCTTTGCCTCTCCAGTTCATGGGGAACATTCCAAGCCTTCTCTTGTGACACTGTTTCTCTCGTAGAAACCCTATACTGATACTGCCATAAACTAGGAAAGTGGTCCTACTGTGAGCCTCAGCAGAAGTTGGGGTATGTGCAGAACAAAGAGCTGGCACCAATTGTGGGTTTTTTTCCCCCTTTTCTTTAGTAAGCTCCTGCAAAATAAATGTGGAGGAACATGAGGACAAAGTGATTTTGAGTTGCGATAGCAACATCACCTGGATAGAGGGGACAAAGGGAAAACTGTTTGCAAGCAAGAAAAGTCTGGACTTGGGAAAACGCATCTTGGATCCACAAGGAGTGTATCAGTGTAAGAAGGATGATGGAACCAGCCAAATACATACTTTGCAAGTATACTATCGAAGTATGTGCCTCCTGGACCCTTTGAGTGGGAATGAATGAGGCCTTTGGATATGAGACCTTTCTGGCTGGAGGGGGCTGTTGTGGGCAAATCTGTTCTCTGAAGAAACTAGGGCCACTCTCTTGTAATGGTGTGAGCCTAGATTTTGGTGGACTCAAAGTGGGAGAGAGAGCTTAGCTAAGGGAAGAAGAGCAGTAGAGGCCTGAGGTTCAGTTGGGAGAGTGATTTGGTCCATCTTCTTGTTCACAATCTCACAAAACAGAGACTACTTCTTGTCTTTCCTCGGGGATTTTTTTGGGATGAAGGGTAGAGGTGAACAGAGCCAGGTCATCAGTAGGACTTTCTCCTAGGATCTTACTGATGTCTGGGTGTTGGCATGAGAGATCCTGCAGCTGCCCTCAAAGGCAGAGTAGGCTCCCTGATCCTGAAGGTTCTCTACTTCTCCTCTCTCCTCCCTTCCCACAGTGTGTCAGAGCTGTGTGGAGGTGAACTCAGCCATCCTGGCTGGCGTAATCATAACTGACATAATTGCCACTCTGCTCCTTGCTTTGGGGGTCTACTGCTTTGCTGCTCATGAGACTGGAAGACTCTCTAAGGGTAAGTAGAAAGGAGAGAGAGAGAGAGAGAGAGAATGTGATATGTTAATGAGCTCATGCACCTGCTAGGGAAAGAGACTCTTTTATTCTCGAAGGACTCTTACAATTGGTCATTGGAAGAACTTGTGTGCCCATCTTGGTAACACATACTACAGAAGGTCTGGAAGGGTGTGATCAGCTGCAATCCTCCCTAATTGTGTCTCTGGGGCCTCACGGTCCTGTCCTCTAGAAACTTGGTGACTCTCTTTCCCTGGTTCTTCTAGCTGCTGAAATTCAAACTCTGTTGAGGAATGACCAGCTCTACCAGGTAAGCCCTGAGGAGGAAGGGACAAGAATGGGAGGAAGGGTGAATGGGGATGGAGGGATAGACACTAGGTGTTATGCGTATGTGTCATGGTGGGGAATTCATCACTGGGGTCTGGAAAGGCCAGGCATGAGCTCTCACTGCCGAGGCATGCTTGAGTCCTTCCTAGGAGACTTCTGACACTGCTTCACTGTTTGCTCTTCTCATCTTTTAGCCCCTCAGAGATCGGGACGATGCTCATTACAGCCATCTTGGAGGAAACTGGCATCGGAACAAGTGAACCTGAGACTGGTGGCTCACAGGAGCATCACTTATCTACTGTACCTTCTTTCCTTGCTCAGCCAATAAAAATGTCTGCTTTTACTCAGCAAGTTCCTGGGCTTTTCAAGGCTCTTGAGCAAGAGATGGGAGTTGTCCTGACTTGGCTGGGACCTTGTACTTTCTACACGCTCTGCCCACCTGTTTCCTTCTTTCTTCTCTGCCCTCCATGGACAAAGTTTGGCAGGAATGCCTCTGGCTCTCCTGCCCTGGGGGTTCTCTGAATGGTGAGTCTAGGTTGTGCCCCATCACACTCCCTCAGCTACTTGTTGACTCCCATCCTTTATAGAAACCCGTCCAGGGTTTCAGCTGCCTCACCACATCTGAGGGCAGGCTGCTGAGTTCAGGAGCTCAGCCACACAGAAACTGTGGGGTTTCCATGACATCATAAGCGGGGGCGGTAGAGATGTCAAAGGCCCCTGAGACTCACTTCTCATTAAGCCTGAAGGAGTATGTGTGTGACAGTCCCACTGCTGCTGAGCTTTGTGACCCCTATTGAGCCAATTTCATTAATGATGAGGAGTCTTGCTGAGGCACCTTCAGCAACCCCTGTTCCCCTGTATTACCAGATGCCATCGAGTTGTTTCCAACTTATGGGGACCCCCGCATGTGTCAGAGCAGAACTGTGCTCCATAGGGTTTTCAGTGGCTGATTTTTCAGAAGTGGGTTGCCAAGCCTTTCTTCTGAGGCACTTCTGCATAGACTCAGATCTCCAACTTTTCAGTTAGCAGCCAAGGACATTAACCATTCGTACCACTCAAGGACTCCCTTCCCTTGTATCAAAGGTGCCATTTTACTCTTCATTTCCCCAGGACCTGTTCCTGCCCTGCCCCTGCCTTTTGTACAATAAACTGGAGTCAGAAAACCTTCATCAATTAAAACTCATTATTGTTCTCCACTTACTTGGAAAGGTGGGATTTGAGACTGGATGGGGACTTGTGACATTTTTAATGGTTGTTGGCTTCAGGAAGTGCATCATTCAGAAATGTTGGAGTTTGAGGGATTTTTTTAAAATTAGATAATTGGGTCCCATTCCAGGCAGTGAGTCTGATGAGAACCTTCTGTGCAGAGGAAGAACCCAGACCACTTACTCTCTTGTGTCCATCATGCTCATTCCTGGCTTCCCATAGTTGGGACTCCCTCTTTCATTCTCTGAATATGGAAGTAATTTAAATAACTTCAGGACAATTTAATGACAGTGGGGATCTCCTAGACCACTGTCTAGGCACCTCCCAAAGGAGAAGAGAATTAACCACATAGCCAGTGACCAGGATGATTCTGCCACCATTTCCTTAAGATACAAGACCCTAATTTTGTTAGAGACAGGATGAACTTCCAATTCACACATACTTCATTCCATGGTTAAAATTTAATCCTACCCATTATCTGCCTAATACTGTAGCCATTCTAACGCTAGATACTACTCTTGCATTGGATGCTACTATCATGGGCATCCTTTCCATGGCCTGTATATCACCAATACTGTGTATCTTCCCTACACACTGCACATACGTACATGTATCTTGTACCTTATAGTCGTCATACATGCCATATATTCTCTTTCTTCACCCCATACCACTGGCTCTCAGAGTTGGCTGCTCACTGGAATCTCACGGAGAGCTTTAAAGATGCTGATGCCAGAGTGCCACCTTCAGAGATTCAGATGTTATTGGTCTGAGGTGCACCTGGGACAACAGAACTTTTAAAACTACCTAAGATGATTCTAAAAGGAGCTCTGGTGGTGCTGTGGTTAAAGCATTGGGCTACTAACCAACAGATCAGGGGTTTGAACTCACTAGCTGCTCCATGGGAGAAAGATGTGGCAGTCTACTTCTGTAAAGATTTACCACTTGGAAACCCTATGGGACAGTTCTACTCTGTCCCATAGGGTTGCTATGAATCAGACTCAGTGGCAGTCAGGTTTTTTTTAAACAAGATTTTAATGCAAAACCAAGGGTGAGAATCACTGCCCTCCACTTGAGTCCTTCCAGAAACTTGTGTTCTTTCTGCTTTCTTTTGTTGTGCTTTTAATAAAGAGCCTTATTGAAGCTTAACTGACATAAAGAAATGGCATATATTTAAAAAAACTTGATAAGTTTTGACATATGTAAATACTTGTGAAATATCACCACAATCAAGACACTGAACATATTCAACATTCCCCAAATTTTCTTTGTGGCCCTTAGCCATTCCTCCCTCCAACCCCTTCTCTTCACCCCATCCCCTTCCCAGGCAACCACTGACCTACTTTGTATCATCATAGACTAATTTTCATTTTTATAGAATTTTACAGAAATAATGTAATATAGTATGTATTTTTTTGTGGGGGGAGGGGGTCTGGCTTTTTTCACTCAGCATAATTACTTTGAAATTTAGCCATCTTGTTGCATATATCAATAGTTCATTTCTTTTTATTGTTCACTAGTATTTCATCATGTGGATATGTCACAATTTGTTTATTCATTTACCTGTTGATAGTCTTTTGGGGTGTTTCCTGGTTTTGGCTATTAAAAATAAAACTGCTATAAATATTCATATGTAAGTTACTGTGTGTACACATGCTTTTATTTCTCTTGGATAAATACTCAGAAGTAGCATGGCTGGGGTATATGATATATGTATGTTTAACTTTTTATGAAAATTGTTTTGACTGTCTAGTGCTGCAATAACAGAAATACCACAAATGGATGACTTTCACAAACAGGGATTTATTCTCTTACAGTTCAGAAGGCTAGAAGTCTGAGTTCAAAGTGCTAGCTCTAGGGGCTGTGTGCAAGATCCTCAACCTCGGGCTTCAGCTCCTGGCCTGCTGGAGCTGGAGGTGTCTCTTAACTCAGGCAGTTGTTGGCTGCTGAGGCTGACAAACCCAAGGTCAACAAGTGAAATGGCACAGTCCCAAGATTATCAAGCGACATAGTGGACATTCAAGTCCAGAAACAGTCCCAAGATCAGAAGGCAATATGGCAGGCTGCTGGATGAAGATGGCTAAATGCAGGATCCAAGCATGCCAAAAAGCTTAGAGACTTTTCTCAAAGCTGCTTCTTATATACCGGAAGCAGACAACATCCCTAAGGCAGCTACTCAGCTGCTCACAGCAGATTGTACCATGGAGTTGATTACCATTGTCATCATGGAGAATAACTACATCCAGCTGCCCAGCCACTCAAAACCAGGCCTAGCCAAGTTGACACATAACCTTAACTACCACAGAGGGGAAGAGCAAGTTAAAAGGGATAGTTTGATAATACTAGGGAGAGAGAGGTGACACTAAAGCAGATGAAAGGAGAGGGAATTGAGAGTTAGGTGTGTGAGAAATGTCTCATCCTTGATGCCAGAAAGGAAGGTGAGGAGGCAGGTGAAAGGATAGATAGGAGATTGGCTGCAGGTCTTGTGAGTGAGCTCCATTTTCTCTGCGAAGGTGAAGTTGACATCTGCTTTGAGCATCATCTACTCAGGAAAGTGTTGGGTGGGAGCTTGAGGATATTGTTGAAGATGTGTCACAGCTGCTCAGGGGAAAAGGAAAGGGAGCTAAGTAGGACAAGGAAAAAGATGGTCAACTTATCTACTTTGAAGTGGCCAGACACAGCCAGGAACCACAAAGTCCTAGGATGCAGCTGGGGGACCTCCATACTCATGGTATCCCAGCAAAGTAGAACTAGACATTTGTGGAAGAAGATGTGTGGGTGGACCTAGGTTTGAATTTCAGTGCCAACACTTCCTTGCTGTGAGACCCTAAGGTCTCCCTAAGTAGGGAAGTTACTTAACATTGCTGAGAGTCAGTTCCCTTACCTTGCCTGGGTCAGTGGAAGGAAGGAGTCCTCAAGAGCTGCCAGCTGTATTGCAGCAGAGATAGTGCATGTCTAGTACTTAGGAAGGAATCCATAGGTGGTATAATGGTTAATGTGCTTAGCTGCTAACTGAAAGGTTGGAGGTTCAAATTCATCCAGAGGCATTTCAGAGGAAAGACCCGGTAATCTACTTCTGAAAAATCAGACATTGAAAACCTTATGGAGCACAGTTTTACTCTGACACTCATTGGTCACCATGAGTCATAGACTTCATGGCAACTACTTTAGTACTTAGGACAGAGCCTGCACATAGTAAATGCCATCACTTAAAGTTTCCTTCTCCTTTCCTTATGCTCAAAGAGCTCCGGTGGTATAGTGTTGTTGTCGTTATGTGCCATCGAGTCGGACCCGACTCATAGCAACCCCTCCTTGGGTTGCCTAGGCAGTATCACTATGGAAGTAGATTGCCCAACTTTCCTTCCGAGGAGTGGCTGGTGGTATAGTAGGTAAGACATTTGGCTGTTAACCAGAAGGTCAGCAGTTCAAATCTACCAGCTGTTCTATGGGAGGAAGATGAGGGAATCTATTTCCGTAAAGATTTTCAGTATTGGAAACCCAGTGGGAATCAGTACTCAGAATCGACTCTATGGCCGTGGGTTTTGTTTTGTTTTTCTCCTTATGCTTATTTGCATCTAGGGGTGGGTAGTGGATTGGGGATGTGAGAAGGCATGCTTGGCTTTAAGTTCATACACTTTCTCCAGTCTGGAGGACTTTCTCCTTTGTCTCCAAATTCTATCCATCCTTCCTCTCAAGGCCCAGATCAAGTCTCTCCTCTCCCTCAACTCCTTCAATTTCTCCCCTGAATGCCAGTAACATGATTTATAACTGTTCGCTTAACCACATCATTTGTTCTTGTGTTGCTATTTAATTTTGGGCACAGCTTGACTACTGATATAATCACAAGCTCCTTAAAGACAGAAACTGTTTATTTGTATTGCCCAACCCACCTACCCTGCTTTTTGGGAGAAAGATGGCCAGTCTGCTTCCCTAAAGATCATGGCCTTAAAAACCCTATGGGGCAGTTTTACCCTGTTCCATGTCTTGGAATTGACTGGATGGCAGCAAGGTTAAGGACCTAGCACCTAAGTCATTGGAGGTTCGATGGTAGTATTCTTGCCTTCTGTGCAGGAGACCCAGGCTGAAGTCCTGACCAATGTGCCTCCTGTACAGTGACCTGTACATGCACCTCATGTACAGCCGCCTGTCAGTAAAGGCTTGCATGTTGCTCTGATGCTGAATAGGAAAATGGAGAACATTCTTTACAATCATAGTTATATTGAGTCAACATGCAAAGCATGGGAGTTGAACAGCTGATTTCAGCTATGTCCAACACGAAGTGACTTAATCACTGGGCAAATGACTTCATCCCTCAGCCTCGGTATCCTCTCTGTAAAATAAGGAAGACAGTATCTACAGCGTTGCATCGGGTTGGTATAAGGATTCAATGAGATAACAAATGTAAAGTGCTAAATTCAATTTCTGCGCAAAGTAAATGCTCAATAAATGTTAGCTGTTACTGCTTTTATCACACTGAGCCATGCCTACCCTTCACTGGGCACAATCAAATGTATTTGGGACAAAATTGCAGCCTCCAGACTAGCCTGCTGCACTTCAAAAGGGGACCAACAAACAGAAGCTGTAAACATAGCCTAAAGCCGATTGTGGTCAGTGTGGAGGGCTGCTAATCGTAGATGGTCTTTTTAGTCACGATCATACACATAAATAGCTGTGTGGTCAACAGAGAGGTTTCTGAGTTCAGAGAGTTCAGAGACTGAGACAGACGCTCAAAGTTCTGGCCCTCTCTAACTACCAGCTGAGGTGTGCTGTGGGAGTATGAGAACAAACAAAATCTTCTCCACGAGGAACCCCTCCTCTGGGCTCCTACCACCCCACCTCTCACACCCTCATAAGAGCGCAGACCACATCCTGTGCACTGAACCACAGCTTCATGCTGCTGCCTCTCAGGTGGAGGGTACAGCACTGGCTTGAGAGCACCTCTTTCCTCTGTTTTCCCCACCCCTAGCTTATAGCTTTTCTAGGCAGCTTGTGGAAACCCATGTCCCATCCCTCAACCCCATTACACCTCCTATTCTTCTGCTGTCTGTTAAGACCCTGTTTCTGTCTCACCTGTTTTCTACACTGACCACTTCATCAGAGATCCATCAGCCACTCCCTGCTGCCCTTGATGGTTTCCTCCAGGTCAGGCAAACATTTGCTCCTTGATGCCCTCTCCAAAGGAGAGCTTCAGAAAATTCCCCCACCAGCTGTGAAAATAGTTTGTACTTTGCATTTGGGATCACAGGTGAGAATTTAGCCAAAGAAGGGGGTGGGTGTGATAGGGAGGACCTGGGCTGTCTTAGGAGGTGAGGCAGCCTCTGAAGGCCTCCCAGAAAAGAAGGACAGCAACAATTTCAGGCATAGACACTTTATTTCTTTTCTTTCTCAGCTGACACAGAACGAGAGAATTCCTAGGGGAAATGCAAATGACTGTCCCTAGGGTGGAGACAGTGGGCAGGGGGTCCAGGGCTGGCTCTGTGCCCTGGATCTGTGAATGGGCCAGGACACCTGCCATCTGCCGGCAAGTCCATCCCCATAGGGTTACAAAGTAGTGCTGGAAAATAGAAAGGTAAATGGAATAGTTAGGGATGGGACAACTTATATACTGGAAAGGGAGGGAATAGAAGGGGAAAGAACAGACATGGAGGTGGGGTAGGAGGAGTAAATACAGAAATATCCTGACTTGAGAGCCTGCCAGGTGTGAGAGGGTAACTAGCAATGATATTTCAAAGGATAAAAAAGCAGCCATATCCTAGGCTTGGACGCCAGCAGAGGAATCAGAAGGAGGGAGCTGGGGAAAAGGCTATATAGGAGGTGAGTTCACCACAAGGCACAGGAACAATTTTCTTGTGGGGTCCAAGATTTGTCAGGAAACAGAGTAGCATTGGGCCCAGAGAGGAGCCAGACCTGGGTGGTGGGAAGCAGGAGTTGCCAGAAGCCCTCAGATGTTTCTCTGATTCAGGCCAGCATACAGGTCCCGCTGGCCTTTTCGGATGGGCTGCGCATGAAAGAGAGAAGGGGTGGTCAGTAGGGTGGGAGGGACTAGCTCCTAAGAAAGAAGGGTCTCTGAAGATGTAGGTTTAGTGCAATGGAAAGAACTTTGGACTTGGAATCAGGAAGCAGGCTAGAATCCTGATTTAGCACTGACTGGTAGGAGACTTGAGCTAGTCTCCTGTAAGCCTCAACTTTCCTGTCTCAGAGTTGGGACCCTAAAGACCTGCATTTCAGGGCTTTTGTCACAGTTAAATGAAATCATTCATGAGAAAGTGAATACCACATGCTTGGCTGATGATCAACAAATGCTTGCTGAGTTTATTCAGGGGTGATGCTCAAAACGTTTAACAGCTGGGAATGTACACTTAACAACCAATCAGTATAAACCTAGTGGTCTTCTGCCATGCCAAGCATTAACTCTTTAGTTGTCCAATCAAGAGGCAGGACAGTGGGATCTGGAGGAGCGCCTGTGATGACTGGCAGTGTGTGTGTGTGTGTTTAGGGAGTCAGCTTGGGGCTATTTACCAATGAAGTATTTAAATATTTTAGTAACTAATGTAAATGCTCTAGTGACCGGTGGTAGAATATCAGCCCTGATTTATGGTGTTAGAATTTACATGTATAGTAGTCTCCAAGGCTATATCCTAGCCAGTGAATAAGTCAAAGAAAGAGGAATGTGTCTGCCCACCTCTACCCCTTCCATGGTTGTGGAAGCTGTGCAACCCTCAAGAGGGTCCTCCACTACCACGAGGAGGTAGAGGTGGGCACATGGGGTGTTCTCCTAGGAGACTTGAGTGAGGGGCTTTGAAGACTTTGGCAGGAAAGATGGTTGGTCCCATCTGTTCGCTTCTCCCCTAGAAGGATCTCCACCCCCTTCCTGCCTGCTTTATCCCCAGTTACCTCATAGTCTGGGTTGGGAACAGGTGGCGGCCTCTCCTTGTTTTGTCCTGCAGGGGAGGAAGGGGAAAGGGATTTGTTTCCAAGAGAGAACACTGATCTTGCAATAATGTCTGCTGTGATGAGACTCAGCTCAAGGATGAAAAACCCCTTCATTCTCTCCTACTCCCTTTCCCTTTGCAGCTTCCCTTTCTCTTTCCTTCCTTCCTTCCTTCCTTCCTTTCTTTCCCCCATTTCTAAAGATCCCACACTCTTCTTTCATCCTTGTGACTTTCAGCTCAAGGTCCTTCCATTGTTTCTTTCCACTGGGGAAGGGAAAGGAAAAGGCAGTAACTAATGTCCCAAGGGGATGAAATCTGATTACCCCAGAACACTGAGGAGCATTCGAGGAAGCTATATATTAATAGATTTCTTGAGACTGCCATATGTTAATAAACTCCTTTGGTACATCTAGGTTGGGAAGAAGAGTGACCTGACACTTGAAACCCTCTGCTGAGATCTTGGCCTCCCAAGCATCTTCTACAGAAGCCCATCTGCCAGGTTGGACTTTCTCCTTGGTGAGAATCTCCTCAGACCCAGGTTCTTACCCCTGGGTCTGCCGCCAGCACCTGCTCCTCGTGTCACAGGCTTGGTCTTGGCCTTTCTGTTCTTGCTCCAGTAATAGACCATTAGCAGCAAGCCCAGAGTGACGCAGATATCAGCTACAACGACCGCGATCACTGCCATGAGATTCACCTCCATGCAGTTCTCACACACTGTGGCAGGGTTAAGAACAGTTGAGAAGAAATCATTGAGAAAGGAAAAATATGAGGGGACTGGACAAGAGGAAGGAACAAAGGTGAATCTCTCTTTAATACTTGCTTGTCATGGCCAGAACCCTCCTGTTCAAGATATTTATAACAGCAACAATGAGTCACGTGTAGGGGTTACAGGTTGAGCCTCTGGAGTCAGACAATCCTGGGTTCAAGTCCTACTTCCATTATGCACTAGCTATGAGAATTGTGACACATGTTTTTAACTCACAAAGCCTGTTTCCTCATCTATAACGTGGAAATATAAAATAATACTCACTGCATGGCATTGTTGAGAGAATTACAGGGCATAATCCATGGCAAGGCAATGCATGCCGCTTAATAAGCACTCAGTAAATGTTAGCTACCATCATTATAAGGAGCCCTGGTGGTACAGTGGTTAAAGTGCTCAGCTGTTAACCAAAATGTTGGTTCAAACTCACCAGCTGCTCTGTGGGAGAAAGATGGTGCAATCTGTTTCCATAAAGATTTACAACCTTGGAAATCCCATGGGAGCAGTTCTACTCTGACCTATAGGGTTGTTATGAGTTGGAATCTGGACTTGACAATAGTAATTTTTTTTTTTGTATCATTATTATATTACTATTATGCCTTAGTTTATGAAAGTTCATTATAAGTGGCTTTGAGTCTTCTTTGCAGGTCCTTCTGAACGCCTCTGGATAAAGTACCAGATAAATTCATACAGGTGATCTATAATTCTGGATGTGACACAATGCAAATGACCAACTTCTGTCTCTTGGGAGGTTGCTGCTTGAGGTCTACTGAGCTGCCTTAGGTTGCCCAGACAGCAACCTAAGGTGTTTAATCTATATTTTTCAGAAAACACTGATGCTATGTGCTATCAGGGAGGTCCAAGACTGAATGTATGAGGAAGAACAAGGACAGTGGGGAACTGTGAGTTAGGTTAGGAGAAATAATTGGGAATGCCCTTTTAAAATGATCCTCCCCAGTCTGGTAGTCCTTACCCTGGAAACCTGTATTACCTCTTGCTTTTAGGTAGAGAGGATGATTCTTCTTTGAGTCATCTGTATAGCAGGTATAATAACCACTGTGTTCCATTTCTGAAAAATTCTCCAGTACTAACTTGTCTTTAGAATCTTCTGGAATGTTTATAGTTGAAACAGCTACCCCATTATGTTCCCATTTTATTGCTTTGGATCCAGATTCATCAGGGCATGTCAACTCTACTGTGGTTCCGGAGATGGAGACTTTATATACTGGGGAACAGGAAAGAAGAGGAGAAGGGAAATCAGAGGGAGAAACCAGGAAGATTTCAGAAAAAGCAAACAAGTGACAAAAGAACCAACCAAACGCAGAAAGTTACCTGCTATTCAGGTCTTAGATTTGCTTGTCAGAAGAGAATCCTACTGGCTAGAGGGTGTAAAAGAGGGAGCATATGGGAGAAGGGGAACTAGAGAAACTTTAAGAGGTGCCTTCAGGATTTAAACATAGGAGGGGGGTGTCAATATTTTAAATGCCTTAAATAAATTATTCACACAATCTTTACAACAACTGCATGAGCTAGGTATTATTATTATTTCCATTTTATAGATGGTGATTGTTCTGGTTACCTAGTGCCACTCTGACAGGAAACATACCACAAATGGGATGGCCTTAACAAACAGGAGTTTATTCTTACAATTTGGAGGCTTTAAGTCCAAGTTCAAAGTGCCAGGCTCTAGGGACTGGGTGAAAGCCCTTCAACCTTGGGGTCCAGCTTTGCCTCCTGCTCCCAGCCCACTGGAGCTAGAGGCATTTCTTCTCTCAGACAGCTGCTGGCTGCTGAGGCTGAGAACCCCTCAAAGTTGACAAGTAAAAAGGCACAGTCCTGATGTTACCAAACCACATGGCAGGCCATTAACTTAAGTCATTGTAAGTCCCAAGGTCAGCAGAGCATAGCAGGCTGCTGAGCAACGACACGGCTACATGCAGGGTCCAAGCATGCCATAGGCTAGAGACCATTCTCAAAGCTTCTCCTTATATACAGGAAGCAGACCACATACCCCAAGGCAGCTACTCAGCTGCTCACAGTAGTCCCACCATGGAGCTGATTACCAGTCTCATCATGGGAATACTACATTCAGCTGCCCAGCCACTCAACCAGGCCTAGCCAAGTTGACACACAAACATAACCACCACAATAATGTTATGGCACAGAGAAGTTAAATAAATTGTCCAAAAGATACTCAGCAAGTAAGGAATCGAGCCAGGATTCAAATACAGCAGTCTAGTTTGAGAATTAGACTCTTAACCTTATAGTATACACATTATCTCCTCTGTGTGCTTTATACCTCCAGAGACAATAATTCATAATGGTCAAGAAAACAAGCTTCAATATCTAATAAATCTTGTAAGTAAAGTAAAGAAAAACACAGAAAGGAAAGAATGGAAGTTAAGTATAAAAGTCCCCCTTTGGAATCTTTTCATGGAGGTTGGGGATGTAATGTGGGGAAGACCTCAGCTCTTAAGGTTAATCTCTCTGAATCAGTTTATTCACCTCTATGCACTGATACTCATTCTCAGAAAGGGCATAAACAAAAGATTGATAAACTTACTCTTTTGTGTAGATTCATCTGAAAATGAAAAAGGAAGAGTGGTTGGAGAATAACTTTTGTCTAAGTTTAAATTGTGTGTCAGATTTTTCAAATGGAACTAGACACTGCCCCAAGCATTCCCAAACAGGGCCCCATCCTCCAGTAAGTCTCAAGCCTCAGAGGTGAGGTATATGCTTAGCCCATGAGCATTCTCAGAGATATAACTCAGATACTTTAAATTGAGAATATATCTGTAAGTACTCCTAGACCTAGATGCACTGAAGCTTTCAAGACCTAAAGCTGAAAAAGAATTCCAGAATTCTGATCCTTCTGCATTTGGACAATATTCCAGACAGAGATGAGGAGTGTTCTTAGAAATAAAGACCTCCTCATCTTTGAATCACCGACTCTTGAGCTTACCTAATTCTCACTATTCAGACTTTTTTTTCTAAAACAAAAAACAAAAAACAAAAAAAACCCAAACACTGTCCCTCATAAGAGAGATCAAACATCTTTTTTTTTTTTTTCTTTTCTCTGTTCCTGTCCTTAAGTGATTTGAAGTACCTGACACATTGTTAGGGAATGGTTCTTCCAATAAAAGCAGCTAAAGGAAGGTTGGGCAATCCTACTTCCGTAGTGATACTGCCTCGGAAACCCAAGGAGGGGTCGCTATGAGTCGGGTTTGACTCGACGGCACATAACAACAACAACAACATATTTTAAATAATTTCTGAGTATAACCAAATCTCAATTATTTTTTATTAGAGGAGGGACCAGCGGTGTAGACAGCCAAAATCCACAAATAATCCACCAATATAGTTTTGGAATCCAGCCACAGTCCCCACAGCAGGCAGTTTTGCCGTGGGAGGTGGGGCCCTGGGTACATCCTATTTCTTAGAGGAACTTAGGACTGGGACATTGGGCACCACAAAGCTATTCCAGGACCTGGTTATGACGGCTGGCAGAGAGGAGAGGCGGTGATACTCAGAGTCAGCCCTCTCCCTGTTAGCAGTGTTTTATGACAGCATGCAATGGGGCTCAGAGTCAGAGGTCCACAGTTTGAATCTCAGCTGTGCACTAAGCTGTGTAAGGGGAAGTCATTTAATCTCTAAGAGCTTCTTTTTCTTCATCAGGAAGTAAACACACACACCTTCCAAGGTTTTTGAATTAAATGGATTATGAAGGTAAAAATGGATGGCAAATAGCAGATGCTCAAGAAAAATGTTGATTCCTTTCCTCTTTCTTCTCTTGAGGTCCTGCTACAATGGAGAACAGAACTGAACACTGACCTGCTTGCTCAGGGAACCCTCTGGCTGAGACTGCACAGAATCATTCTCCAGTGGTTTATTCACCTGCTTATAGGAGGTCTGGTGGTGTAGTGACTAAGGCATTTGACTGCTAACTAGAAGGTTGGTGGTTCAAACCCACCAACCACTTCTTGGAAGGAAGATTGGACATCTACTTCTGTAGTGATACTGCCTCAGAAACCCAAGGAGGGGTTGCTATGAGTTGGATCTGACTTGACAGCAGTGAGTTTGGTTTTTTGGTTTTTTATAATTAGGAGTTGAGTGTAGTGACAATAGATCATTGATATTATTTTGATTTACAAATGATTTTTCAGCACTGATATTTTTTAGAAATTTAAATGAGCTGGAAATCACAAATAGAGTAATTCAAAACTAAATAAATATTATATTCTGCTTGATATATTTGTTTGGAAAAGAAGTGTAAAAAAATTTATTCCTAACTTTTCTTTCATTGACATAAATTCAGTTTCAGAGCTTACATGTGCTTATATAAGGACCTATATGTCTACACATAGAAATAATTGTGCCTACAAGGGTTTTTTCACATGCTCAGAGATGATAATTTATAATGGTTAAAAAATGAGCTTCAGTATCTAATAAATCTGTACTTATATTTATCTCTGTGATTGGACTATTTTTCTAAGCCTCAATTTTCATATCTAAGGATGTTAGAAGAATTAAATGACAAAATTTGGGTAAAATACTTAGCCAATACATAGAACAAAAGTGCTCAGTAAACATCAATGTTTCTTATCTATAGTCTTTCTGTATAATAATAGTTAAAATTTACCTACTGCCTTTTATATGCTATATAATATACTGAGTGCCTTAAATAAATTATTCATACAATTTTCACAACAACTCTATGAACTAGGTCATACCTCACTTGATCATGCTTACCTGTAATCAGACAGGACTGGTAGCAACAAATATAGTCACATGTATCATCTATAGATCTTACTGTAATTATTTTCCCTCTAATTATGACCATTTTGCTTCACATTTAAAAAGAGATTGTATGAAGGGAAAATCCTCTTACCATTTTCTTCATTCTCTGAAAAGGAAATGATACAAAATGATTAGCAACAACACTCCTATCAGCTACTAAGATTATACCTTGCTCTCATGAGTTGACTCTTCCCTAATCCTTTAGAAAACAGTAGACATTCAAATTCCTCATTGTTGTATATGAAAAGTTGTCTGGGACTCTAGATTCTACATTAAATTGATGGCCATTTACGAAAACGACTCCTACATGCACTACAAATTAGACAGTGCAACAGAATGTAGACCAGCACAGTGGTTGCCTTTGAACATGAAATTGGTTCAGTCATCTTGGAGGAGCTGATTGGATAGAAAGCCTTCCAATCTTGAGTCATATCTGACTTTACTGGCTGTGACTGAGAAAATAAATTCAGGCCAGGTACATTCATATGCATGTACACACATATGCATACACATGCCCACACATACACAGAGTATTCTGACATGTGATGCTGACTTGCACCCAACTGCTGCCCCAGAGGTGTGGAGCAGCATCCCTGAACAATGGGGCTCATCCAGTGTATTCCCATACATGTATTCTAGGGACACACTCTCTGCAAAATCTCACATCAAATATGAAATGCAAATAAAAACGTTGTTACTTTCAACTTAATAGTCTCAATTTTTTTTTTTTTCTTTTGAATAGTTAAGTCTCACTGTTTCTTATGATCTCTGGTGCTTTCCTCTTCCTGACTAAAAATATCTCTATACTTATGAAGAACAGACAAAGGAGAAGATGGTAAAAAACTCTTTCACTGGTCTCTGTGGATGTTCTGTAAGGACCTATCATGGCACAGTGGTAAGGCATTTAGCTGCTAACCAGAAGGTTGGTGGTTCCAACCCAATAGCTGCTCCATGGGAGGAAGATGAGGCAATCTACTTTTGTAAAGATTTACAGACTTGCAAATCCAATGGGGGTTGCTATGAGTTGGAACCAACTTGATGGCAGTGGGTTTGGTTTTTTGGTTTGGTGGATATTCTGTTGGAGGCTTGGTGGAAGCTCTACCCATTAAGATAAAGAATGTTGATTTTGTAAAAAGGAAGGAGAGAGTATCTTACCTGACTGCCCCCAAGCACCACCTAGAAAAGAAATCATAATAAAGAAACAGTTAGTAAAGATTGTGACTGCCCATAATTTTAAACAGAAAATGGGCTATGGTCCAGTATGACCAAGTATGAACATCTAAAGTCCTTCCTATCTACTGCTGGATCATAGTCATTCCTACCCCCAGAGAAATGACGCTCCAGGGATTCTTGTCCAATTCAGGATGAAACAGGGCAAGAAAACGTTTAGCATTAAATATGAACACATGATATTTGATGAACAGTGGTTAAAAAAGTTGGGTCCTTTTTTTGATAAGTGGAGAAACAGCAAAAGAATTTTGTAACCAAGCTTTCATTTTGAAAATTGCTCTTTGACCATGGAGGAGAAATACGCTCTTGTTCTGGTATAAATGTAGGGATTCTTGTTCCATCTCTGGCTCCTTCTTGTCTGATGGTTCAGTTGTTCTATTTGTTTTGTGGTTGAGGCAGAGCTGGAAATATTTGATACCTTGATTACTAGAGCCTGTGAGTGGAAAAACCTGATCACATTCCCACTGGACCCTTGGAGTTCCTTCACCTAGCAATAAATCAGATTTGTTACAATGACCAGTTTCCCTGGCACTGCCTGAAAGTTTTCTGTTTACCTGGACCTCCCTTGGCCTGACAACAGCCTCTCTATTTGGTGAGATCCCCTTGACAGAGAAGATTAGGCATATTCTCATGTTGCCAAATTTCTAGGCAGGAAGAGGCTAGGATCTTAGGTCTTTGATTATTCCTCATACATAAGGTGGCTATGAGTTGGAGCTGACTTGACGGCACTGGCAATCTCCTTCTGTAGTGATACTGCCTTGGAAACCCAAGGAGGGGTCGCTATGAGTCGGGTCCGACTTGATGGCACACAACAACAACAACAACATACTGTATGCCTCAAAACAAGCAACAAAAAAAGCTTCACCACTCCCTGAAGAAGTCACATCACACCCCTTGGTTACTCAAAGTGTTATTTTTCAGACCAGCAGCAGATCATCATTTGGGAGATGGTTTAAAATGCAGAATCTCAGTCCCCGCTGCTACTGAAGCAGAAACTGCATTTTAACAAGATCCGAGGTGATCTGTGTACACAGTCAAGATTGAGAAGCCCTCGTCTAAATAGACTGCTGCAGCTGAAACAGGAAGTGGAAACATCATGGCTGTGGCTCTGCAATAGCAGACCCAGTTGTGATGGCATTTTCTAATTCTCTGAAACAAAACTGTTATGAACTGTTTTGCCTCATGGGCAGCCATTAAGAGCACAGGCCTTACAGACAGATGGACCTGGCTTTCTAGATGTGCTTCAGCTCTTATGAGCTATGCGATTTTAAACAAATTATTCAACTTTTTCGAATATCAGTTTCTTCATCTGTGAAATTAGGCATAAAATGTCTATTTTCCAAGGTGGAAGTAATGATTAAACTAATTAACACATGTAAAGTATTTTTCTTTACATGGTGTCTGGCACCCAATAAATGGCAATCTCTCTCTCTCTCTCTTTTTGTAATATTGGTTTCATATGAGAGATACAAATGATCTTTGTTATTTATCAATTTATATTTCACTTTGCTTCACAAGGGATTAAGCTGGTCGAAAGCTCTTGATCAACTGAGATGAACAAACCATTATGAGATGTTTTGTTGTCTCAAAGATACTGAACATGCTTTTATATCGTGCACAGTTTGGGCTCAACTCTTTGTCCTAATACCTGGTCTCCCTGAAACAAAGAAAGGAGGTTTGCTCTTCTAATCTCTTTTGTGTTCATTTCTAAGGGTTGGATAAGCTCACTGATGGAACAAGCTTGTGCTTGGCAGGCAGAAAGATCTCTTTGTTTCTCTTTGCTTTCAATAGACATGATCATCCCAACTTCTTTTCTTGGCCTGTTCCCTGAACTCTTCCTAGGTACCTGCAGAATATCTTTTTTATTAGCCTCTAGTCCTAACTCCCTACCTTATCATAGCACAAATCATGTCTTACATCTCCTGGTAAATGAGTCTCTTTGGTGTTATCGGGCAGCTCAGGTAAGGTTGTGAGCCTCCCAAAGGTCTGGAGAAACATCACCCCTTTTCATTTCACCCTACTCACCTGACAAGAGGCAGAGTCCCAAGACTACCCAGAGAGTGCCTGGCAACATCCTTCTCTCAGTGAACACTTACTTTACCTAAGATGGCGGAAGTGAGTCTGTTTATTACTTCTGAAAAAGAAACCGGAGGACTTTATCAAAACATGAGGACCCTGGGGTCATCATTCCCAATGCTAGGATGAAAAGGAGGGCTTTTTAGAGCCAGACTCACCATTTTCTGGAGCAGACACCCAAGGCTGGGAGGGGAGGCAGGCTTCTGAACCCCACACAGGAAGTGTGAAGGGGCCTCTAGGCCTGCAGGGCTCTACGTCACTTGGAAACGTTCAAGGAAGAGGCAGCCACCTGGGTTGGTTGAGGAGAGAGTTGGGCCCCAAAACTTTCCTATAAGGATGAAAAAAGGGACTCTGACAAAACCTGAATGTGTCCGTGAAAAATACCTGCAATCCAACTGCCCAGGCCTTGCACAATGTATGTCCAAATTGGTGACTCTCTTCTCAGATACCACCCCCTGCTCCTGCCAGAAATAAGCTGTGATAGGGAGTATGACAGGGAGAGGGAGAAACATGAATATTTGCTCTATGATGGACTTGGCCTGGAGCAGCAGGATGCAACTGTCTGACTAACAAAAGCAGTGAATTGAAAATATTCATTGGCTTAAAACCATGAGATGCCATTTCACAAATAATGTTTGTAAAAATACTTTAAAAGCTCCACAGTACTCAATACTGGGAAGGGTGAAGAGTGATAACCTCAAAATCTGTTGTTGTAAGTATAAACTGATATAACTTTTCTATATTTCTAATCACACATTAATCAAATGCTTACTATAGGCCAGTAACTGTGCTAAGGACTTTATCAATCTCATTTAATCCTCAAAACAACCTAGTGATGTAGGTATTATGTTTCTCACTACCATCCAGTTGAATCCGACTCATAGCGACCCCACCTTGGGTTCTGAGGTGGTATCTCTACGGAAGTAGATTGCCCAGTATTCCTTCTGAGGAGTGCCTGGTGTGTTTGAACCACCAGCCTTCTGGTTAGCAGTCAAATGCCTCAGGCACTATGCCACCAGAACTCCCTCATTTTATACTTGAGCAAACTGAGATTCAGACAAGCTACATAACTTGTTTTGTTACAAAACTTAGATTCTAGGAAACATTTTGACAATTTTTTTTAACTTAGTAAATACATAATGTGCTGGGTGCTAGTGAAACAGCAGTACCAAGATAGACTTTTAGTCTTTATGGAGAAGGAAAGAAAATGTGGACATTAAATAGATAATTATAGGAGACTCATGATAAGAAAGAAGAAATACAGGTGCTATGAGTGTGATAAAAGGGAGAGCTAGCCGTCACCTATCCAGCTAGTTAGTTACACTGCGGTGGCTTGTGTGTTGCTGTGATGCTGGAAGCTAAGCCACTGATATTTCAACCACCAGCAGAGCCAGCCATGGTGGACAGGTTTCAGCAGAGCTTCCAGATTAAGACAGAGTGGGAAGAAATGCCTGGTGATCTACTTCCAAAATTTCGCCAGTGAAATCTTGTGGATCACCACAGAATATTGTCCTTCTCACTTGCTTCAAACATGTCGTCAGGAGGGATTACTCACTGGAGGAAGACATCATGTTTGCTGAAGCAGAGGGCCTACAAGGGCAAGGGAGACTCTCTATGAGATGAATTGGTACAATAGCCGCAAAAATGGACTTAAACATGTCAACATTTGTGAGGGGAATGTAGGCCCAGGCAACGTTTTGTTCCGTTGTGTATAAGGTCACCGTGAGTTGGAATCGACTCAGTGGCATCTATCTATCTACAATATTTATCTAATATAGTCCAGCGAAGATCTCACTGAGATGGTGACATTTAAGCTGAAGACAACAGATGAGCAGGTGTGATACAGATAGAGAGGAGGACAGAAAAAAATATTCCAGACAGAGGGGGCAGTGTGTTGGAAACCAAAAGATAAGAGAAACTCATTAAGATATTCAAAGTCCACAATGGCAGGTAACAGGGAAAGGGAGATGGAGTGGCCAAAAATGAGATTGGAAACTCATTTGGAGATGAGGAATTTACAAGCTTTGTTATGGATTTTTCAGAATTATTCTAAGGGCACTGGGAAGCAGTTGAAGGTTATCCCTCCCCCACTCCCCCAAGATTATGTTTTATTTTATTTTATTTTTATTGTGTAAAGTTTACAGGAAAAAAAATTTCTGTTCAACAATTCATACACATTTTGTGTCATGTTGTTGATTGCAATCCCTTCAACATAACATCATTCATCTCACTTTCTCCCTGAGTTTCTCATTTCCATTCCTCATTTCCTAATCCTTCCAGCCTCTGCACTTTTCCTTGAGCAAATTCTGCCCTTTTAATCTCAAATGGTTAGTTATTCTAAGGAACGTGTATCTGTCTAGTATTATTGTTCACGTTGTATGTCTGTCTATTGTCTGGCTGCAAATTGAGCCACAGGGGTTAGTTCAGTTCCAGTCCAAAGGGTGCATAAGGGCCGTAGTCTTGGGGTTTCTACTAGCCTCTATTTGACCAGTCAGGCTGGTCTGTTTTATGATTTTGAGTTTTGTGCCACAATTTTTTTCTACTCTATCCAGGACCTTCGAATGTAATCCCTTTCAGAGCAGTCGGTAATGATACTCAGGCACTACTTTGTTCTTCTGGTTTCAGGGTTGTGGAGGCTGAGGTTCACATGGTCCATTTGTCCTTTGGACTAATTGTTTCCATGTGTCTTTGATTTTCTGCACTCTTCTTTGCTTCAGATGTAGAGAGACCAACAGCTGCACCTTAGATGGCTGCTCACAAGCTTTTAAGACACCAGTTGCTACCCACCAAAGGAGGATATAGAACATTTTCTTTGTGGACTATGTTGTCCAATTAACCTTGATGTCCTTTGAGATTATGGTCCTGAGCCCCCAGGCCTAGGGACTCATTCCCTCAAGATTTTGGTTATGATAAGAAGATAAGAAGTTTTCACATCTTTGCCCCTGTATGCTCTACTATATTATGAATATATTTGTAGCATATGTAAATACACATGTAGAAATAACCTGTATAATAAATGTATAATATGTATAATGTATAATAAATGTATATTTATAATATACATGTATAATAAATGTATATCAACAGATAAAATCTTATTCTTCTTCCCACATCTGTTCAGCTTGAGTGTCTATCTATGTATCCACTTATAGATTATAGTTATTACTATTATTGGAGTGTTGTATACTTAATCGTATTTACCTCTGTTGTCTTTAACTCTTGTACTCCTCCCAGTGTCTTCCTTGGCCTTAATAATTTTTCACTGACCTCCTCTTTATTGTATATTGCCTTCTCCTTTGTTCATGTTAACATGTGTCTACTCTCTAGTTAGATGCTCTGGTAGCGTAGTGCCTAAGGCACTTGACTGCTAACCAGAAGGCTGGCGGTTCAAACCCACCAGCCACTCCTCGGAAGGAAGATGGGGCAATCTACTTCCATAGTGATACTGCCTCGGAAACCCAAGGAGGAGTCACTATGAGTTGGGTCTGACTGGACGGCACATAACAACAAAACTCTCTAGTTAGTGCTTTAACTTCTCTTCCTTTCCCCATCCTGGTAACCTTCAAAGAATGATTTTTCTTGTGTGAAACCCTTTTCTTGACTTTTTACAATAATGGTCTCAAACAATGTTTGTCCTTTTGTGATTGACTAATTTCACTGACCATAATGTCCTATAGGTTCATCCATGTTATGAGATGTTTCACAGATTCATCATTATTCTTTACTGATTGTCTATTCCATTGTGTGTATGTACTATAGTTTATCTAGTCATCCATTGATTGGCATTTAGGTTGTTTCCATCTTTTTGCTATTGTGAATAGTGCTGCAACAAACATCGGTGTACATATATCTATTCATGCCACGGCTCTTATTTCTGTAGGATCTAAACCTAGTAGTGGGATAGCCGGATCATATGGTATTTCTATTTCCAATTTTTTAAGGAAGTGCCATATTGTTTTCCACAGTGGTTGCACCATTTTACAATCCCACCAGCAGTATATGAGGGCTCCAGTCTCTCCACATTCTCACCAGTATTTGCTGTTTTCTTTGCTATTAATGTTTGGGGGAAATGATATTGTATTGTTGTTTTGATTTGCATTTCTTTCATGGCTAATGATTGTGAGCATTTCTTCATGTGTTTGTTAGCTGCCTGAATATCTTTTCTGTTAAAAGTGTCTGTTCATGTCCTCTGTCTATTTTTTAAATTGGATTATTTGTCTGTTATTGAGGTGTTGAAGTTTTCTATAATCTTTGGAGATTAGTCCCTTGTCCAATATATCATTGCCAAAACTTTATTTCCCAGTCTGTGGGTTCTATTTTCATTCTTTTGGTGAAATATTTTGATGCTACATGTCTAGTTTTTAGTAGCTGCCAGTCATCTAGTTGTCTTCTGTTCTTTGTGCATTTTCAGTTTTGTTTGATAGTGTATTTATGCCCTGAATTGGGGCCCCTATTTTTTCTCTGATGATCTTTATAGTTTTTGGTTTTACATTTAGGTCTTTGATCAATTTTTTTTTTTTTTTATTGTGATTTGGGTGAAGATTTACAGAGCAAATTCACTTTCCATACAGCAGTTCACAT